ATATGCAGATGGATGTTTTCCAATAGAAAAGTAGCTACATGAATTTAGACCGAAGGGAGAAGTCAGGGTTGTATGCAAGAAATACTTAGATATCTCCTTGTGCAATTTTTTTTCCCCTTTTAGCTCTCTATGAGTGTGGACCACTTCCAAACCAAGATATCTATAATTCTTCAATAATCTTTGTGGGTTTATCTGCTTTAATCAAACTTACACAAGGCTACCGAGATAAACTGTTTGAAATATCACATTTTTGTGCCTCAAGAACAGTGACTTTTCATCAATTATCAACCAGATTGGATTTTCTCAGCTCAGCAGGCAATTTTAATCAGTCGTCTTTCCATATTTACTTAACCTCATTTCTCACTACTTTTACATGGGACCGCTCCTTCTGACCCCAACAGAAGGTCAACTCTTTATGCTTCATTTATACTTTTGCTGTTCACCATGTTGGAACCCACTTTCAACCAAATTCTATTTTCAGTACCCAATTCAGGTACTCTTAACATGGGTTTCAGGCCAACTAGGGTAGTTGTAAGGCCTCTGAGACTGCAGATGAATATTTCCGCCTTTTGTGGGAACAATGAGGCCATGGTTTAAGTCAGTTTTCATATAGGATCTGTAACCCAGAAAATAGTTAAGTACCACTGACATAACCTAAAATATATAATTCACTTCACTGTGCCCATATTTCAATGCCCCTCCCAGCACCTGCAATTACAGACCCTCTTCTTCCAAGATCCCTCAGTGTGCTTGCTTTTGCTGCACCTGCTCCCACTGATTGCCCCACGGCCAGCTGGAACTTACTCTGGGTCCAGAGTAACTTCTGACCACAGACAGGAAGTCCTTTGGCTTCCTCAGCCCCCACATTCAGCTACCATTTCTATGACTGACCTGAGATGTGGTTTGCTAGGGTTTTTTTGGTAGCTCAACCTGGTTGATGATTACCTAATGTTTTGGGTCCCTCTTGAACAATCATATCCATGCTCTACCATCGAAAGTTTCCCTCATTCCCTGGCATCATTGCAGGGATGTGCCATGTCTCTTTCCATGGGACTCCTGATTTTCCACTGCTAGGTCCTGTCCTCTGTTTTGCAAATGCTGCTACTTCATCTTGGACTCCAATAATAATAATGTTGACACCAATAAGAACAATATTGATTACATGTAAGCATGTTACATTACATGTAAGCATTACATGTAAGCATTCAGTGCTTACATAAGCCAGGCAATATATTTAATGTTTTATGTGCAATGCCTCATTTCTTCCTGACAACTGCCTTACCTGATAGACATTTTTAAGGGAACCTTCCATTTATGGTAGCTACCCTTTATTGAGCAACCATTACATGCCACACATTTTGCTAGGCTGTACATATATGTAATCCCCACAAACACATAGAATTTTTATCTGCATTTTATAGAAGAGGAACCGAGAATAAAGAGTCTCAATGACTAAGTTCACATAGACAGCAAATTGCAATTAAATCTCAGGGTCTGTGTCCCCAGTACCAGAGTTAAATAGGCTGGCCTATTCCTCAGACCCCTGCCTCACTTCTTCACCAGAACCTATGGTCCTGGTAGACAAGTCTAGATGACCCTGTTTTTTGCCTCAATGAATTGTTTCTGGATATGATATTCATATCCCGTGTCTGTCCTACAGTACCTGCTTATAGGTCTTGTGCATTCAGTTCCTTTGCCTGTTCATTCATTCATTTATTAGCTCACTCACTTGTCTGGCATCTACTTATTGGGTGTTCATTCTATGCCCCGTCTTATGCTAGAACTAGGGAAACAAGACTGGAAAAGCACAGCTTGGAGATAGACATGCAAATAAATATGATGATCTAACGACTGTGATGGAGCCAAAGAGCCAAAATTTATGAGTCAAGGTCAGCATAGAGAAGCTAGTGCTTGAGTTGAGACATAAAGTGTGGCCCAGAGGAGACCTTTCAATCAGAGGCAAGAGAATTTGGTGGGAGCATATTGCCAAGTTCAGGGAGCCCCAGTAGGTTCAGCAGGTGCTGGGATTGGGGCAGGAGATGAGAGGGATGGCATAGGAGATCAGAAACCAGAGCACTGGAGACCCTGAAGATTCTGCCGATGAGTGTAGGTTTTATTCCGGACACACGAAAGCTTCAAAGGAAGTCTGTCATTTCTCCACTGTGTCGAATTTGTATAGTAGATAGTAAAATCCACATCTTCCAGTTTGGGGGGGAGACAGTTCCCTGTAGTGCCAAGTTACTTTTACTTGTATGATGGAGTCTCAGTACCTCTTGCTGGGTGGGGATTTATAATCTCCTAATATATTTGCTTAGTAAATGCCTAGAGAGGTGACACTGTGACACACTCTACCAGGTTTAAAATGTCCTTTAATTCTTCCTCTCTCGAGTTGGCCTGAAACACCGAAGGGTGGTTAGCCTGAATAACTTGTCTGCAAGGCTTACTGATTCTAAATGATGTGTGAAGTTATCAGGGATTAGTGCACACACAACCACCTCTCTGCTTGGAAAGTTTACCTCCTGTGACAAATTTCATCTTCACCCCATAAATTCAACCTGCTGACTTGCTCCTTTACATGATTTCTGATTACAGTTTGGAAATCCTTTAAAAAGTGATAGTTACTAAACGAAAGGACCCAGGGAAGTTTTAGGACCACGTCCCTTACTAAAACCCGATGCCTGCAAAATTTTGTTGAATTAGGTACTCTTTGAAAGAAACACCTGCATTCTATCACGTTTGCATGTTTTGGCCTGTCTCAGAATTCCTTCCATGCAGTCTTTCAACAGGCTGGGACACGGCTCCGGGTCGCTCCCTATCCCATCCTGCCAAGGGCGGCATATGGCGTTGTGACTCAGGAGACAAAAAAGATGAGCACAGTGGTGACAAAAGTTTTCAACCCATGATGCACCTCTCCCTTCAACCCCCAACTGTGGAGCCCGAGAATGGGGAATTTGCTCTTTGGAGTAAAAGATCATAAAATGCTTTCTTGCTTTCATTGTGGTCCCTCATCTTGGAGTTCATTATTCCTTTAAACATGCCTAACTGTAGCTTGGAAATTTTACTTTCTTATACAAGCAAAAAGATGCTTGGGGTGCTCTGAGTGTTTGATCCTGAGCTTTCATGAGGCCTCATGCCTTTCCTTGCACTGGTACGAGATGAAAGGAAACCAGCTGTTTTCTTGTTAAAGATCAAGGTGATCAGGATAGTGATTCAAGACCTAGCGATGATTGCTGCAGGGAGAGCAGAGGCTGGGTGATGTTATTCCGTTAGGCACAGTATGTCAGATTTCTGTGGCTGTCAGAAAGAGTATTTCATTTCATGCCTATTTGTGATTTCTTTGTTGTTGTTGTTGTTGCTGGGTTTCAATTCCTGGCATCATACTCAGTAAACTGAATGAGGCTATAATTAGTAGTCTATCCGAATGGTAAGAGAAGAGCTAATATCTCAGATTCTTACTATGTTTCTGTGCTGTTCTTAAAAACCTCATTTTTTATCCTCACAATAATGCTATGAGATAGAAGGTGTCATTCCCATTTTACAGAAGAGAATATTGAGACACAAGAGTTTAAGTAACTCTTAACTTCAGGTAGTTAATGAAGTTAAGTAACTCAACTTCATCGTGTGGGTTATACTGCTCACAAATATTAGTAGAGCTGGGATTTAAACCCAAGCAACCACACCAGGATTAGGGTGAGGTAAGAGAGGTTCCCTAGGGCACAAAATTTAAGGCAGCACTCCCTTGAAGTCTCGTGTAGGTGCAGGGCTCACACCTGAGAGTGAGTGCCTCCTTGAATCACATTGCTAGGGAAGTTCTTTGCTGCTTGCCATACCCTAGACTCAGCCTTGCTTTGGAGGCTGAGTAGTGTTAAATCTCATGGCATACTGCCTCTCTGGTTCTCATCCTTCTGGATCAGAGTCATCTGTTAACAGGGAAGTAGATTGAACAGCCTAGGAGAGGGTTTGTAGAGACAAGCAGGATGGAGCCCAAAGTAGGATTTCTCCCTTGCTCTTGGCTGGGCATTCTTGTCTTGTACTATGTGCCCTCCCATTCTTTTCTTTTCTGACTTTGTCTCACCTCAACCATCTCCAATACAGAGGGCAATAAAGATGCTCTTCACTTGAGAGGTAAATTTCTGCATCCCATAGAGAAAACATTAGAGCAGCATCACAGAGGAGGGTGTGTACTCAGACCTTATTTCATCTTGTCAAGTCCAGACACACCCTGAGGTATATGTTGATGTCAAAGCTAATCCAAGGACACATATCTATGAGAGAAATCTCAGAATCTTAGAACAGGGTCTGCTGAGGAGAAGTCAAATTGCACCAGAGAAAAGGAAAGTGTGTGTGGTGGTGGTGGTGGGGGGGGGTGGGGGTAGTCCAGGATCTCAGGGCAATCATGAAGAACTCAGAGAAGTCCTGGAAAATCTTTTAGTGCACTTGGTCAGTTTTGAATAGGACTGGACTTTTCTGGTGTGCTGACAAATGGCAAAATAATTGCTATTTCATTAGGACAAACAGATCCCTCTGTTCAGTCATGCACAACTTGATATTTAGGAAACCACTGGAATTATGGGATGAATTATGAATTTAGGAAACCACTGGAATTATGGGATACCAGGTGGGAACTATCCCTGGTATCTCTCAGTGATGGGCAAACCCATTCTTTGACTCAATGCGGCCTGGAATAAGCACCTATGAGCTCCTAATCACATATGTGGAGGAGAGCCAGCAGCAAATGAGATGAGCGTAGCGGAGATGAAGGAGAGTGAGTATTACGGTCTGGTAGCTTCTCTGAACTTCTCAACATCATGCTAGAAAAGTTCTGGTAGTCCTTCTAGATAAACATTTACCAGTGAAATCCCAGCAGATTGGCTGATGATGGTTTCTCCTCCTTTATAGATATCATACCACCAAAGCCATGTGGGAAGACCACTCTAAATCAACAAGTCAAACAGCACTCTGCGTAGGGAAGAACTGGACTGTGAATGAGTAGCACTTGCCTCTTTAATTAGGTTCATAAATCTGGGTCCAAGGCGCCATGGCTTGTGTCGATGACACTGTAAGGAGCTGACGGTCAGCTGGGAAGCCCGGTGGGAGGCAATGGCCACCATGTACACGGCATCATACATCAGAGCCGCTTCAGTCTGTGAAGGAAAACACACATCACATCTTCAGTTCCACCTTTGTTTACCTTCCTTTACCTGCAAAAGCATTCTGCCTGCTTCCTTTATCTCGTATTTGTCTGATCTCAACAACCATTCATTCTCCAGCTGAATAGTCTTCACTCTCCAGTAGCTATTTTTCTCTAACATAATACCTCCTACTCCACAGTAAACTGGAGTCATAGCTCTGCTTTGTTTTGAGTTCTTAAAAAAAAATAAAACAAAAATACAAAAAATAAAAAGCCCACCTCACCGATGTCAGCCACGTAAGTCTTGATTCGGGGAACAAATATTTGGAGCATCTTCCGTGTTAAGCATGGTGTTAAGATCAACTACATTGAGTTAGAAGTTATGAAGCCTCAACATTTTAATATGAGATTTTGTTTTTTAGGACTTACACCCATTTATATGTTTATTTGCTTGTTTCTATTTGGTAGAAAGAAACAGATTCAAGCAAAACTAATAGGTAATTTCCAAATAGAGATACTTGTGCTCTTTGCTTCCATTTACTAGAGCCAAGAAGGTCTGAGATATGGAATCAAATCAAACAGCAGGTTGTAAGAGACCTTCTGAAAAACAGACCTGTGTAACTAGCTCAGAATACACCTTTTAACAGCATTTGCTTTTTTTGATAGAAAGTGTAAGTAGTTATTGCTTTTGGGGGTTGGGCATCTCATTCTTCCCTTCCTCATGATATTTCTCTCACTTGCAAAATTTCACACAAAACTGCTAGAATTTTTATAAAAATATTGTCATGTTTTCTTAAGGATAAAATCATATAATACCTTCACATTTTAGTTGAGGGTTTTCATCACAAATTTATTTGAAATTCTCATCAAGCTCCCCAAATCAACGGAACAGATAGATAAAACTACTGATGTAGGAAAACTGACCTTTAGACAGGATATTGACTTGTGTAGAAACATACATATAGCCAACAATTGGTAGAGTTAAACCTAGAATTCAGGTCATAGATCAAAGATTATCATGTATTTTTTTTTTCAGAAATCTGTTGATTCAACATGTATTATGCAGTTACTGAGCATGTCTTAATGGAGGTGGAAAGAGAGGGTAAGGGTTACTACATCTTGCACTTTATCCATCTATGAGGCCAGAGAGTATCCCCACTTTAAATCTGTTTCCTGTGCAATTGCTATCATGGCATTTTCCATATGTATTTATAGTGACATCTGTTTCTCAATAAGAATGTGGGTTTTGCAAATGCAGAAATGGTTCAACTTCATTCTCTTTCTCTCTCTCACCTCCCTATATATACATATATATAAATTTAATTTAATATTTATATATAATATATTTAATGCTTATTTATGTTGAGAGAGAGTGTGTGTGCACGTGTGCATACAGGTGGGGGGGGGGCAGAGAGAGAGAGAATCCCAAGCAGGCTCCTCACTGTTATCACAGAGCCCAATGTCAGGCTTCATCTCATGAACGGTTAGATCACGAGTCTGTTGCTTAACCTACTGAGCCACCCAGCACTCCTCGACTTTATTCTGTAGTGGCTAGCAGAGTTACTGGCATATAAAAGGTCCTTAATAAATGTTTGCAGAAGGAAGTCATGGTATCTCTTGCCTTAAAATGAGATACATTTTTGTGAGACCTGTATAACACCAAGGCTTTAAGATGTCCTTCTAAGATAAATTGTTTCATCAAGCATCCATGTTCTTCACCATTCTCCTTTATCAATTTGGTGGAATTGAAGGAGAGTAATCTATTGGTAGAATGAGACTTTTGAAACTCAATCAGTAACAATAGCTGACTTTTGTCAAGTTCTTATTATAAGTCAGGTGCTACCTTGACACGAAATCCTCACCACAACTGTTACTCTTTTGCGGTTAAAGAAGTAACCAGGTTAAACAGCATCCCCAACCTAGTGGAGGGAAAAACCAAGATTCAAAAGGAGGTTGGTGCTCAGGTTTGTCTTCACAGCCACGAAACCGAACTAACTGCTTCTAAAGCAAGTTTTTGTCTGATGATTTAATAAGTACAATAATAGCTCAATTATGGTGAATATTCACTGACAACTTACTACACACCAGGCACTATAAGCATTTTCCACATGCCGTGTCCTTAAATTGTTGAAATGATACCTTTGAAATAGGCAAAGTCCCCATTATACAGACAGGGAAATGTAGACTTGGAGAAGTAACTTTAGGAAATAACTTTGATAGCTCCCTAACTTATTAGGCAAGCGAGAATTTCACCTCAAGATGTAAACTTAGATTTCAGAGCTCATGCTCTGAAAAACCGCTTAACTGCTATGCTATGAGGACCTGGACCTTTTTAGCAGTGGGATATGCTTTTCATAAATTTGTATGTGTAATCACTAGTTGACAAATGGAATGATTTGGTACAGAAGTGTGAGGAGTAACGTTCCAATGATCTAACGTTTTCATAAGCTGGGCTTAGAAAGGATTCTGACTTTCTTTGTCAAGGCTGCCTCTGCACTGGGCTGGGAAATAACATGGTTCACAACCATGGGCCTGATCTGTGCTTTTCAAATTCGAAGAAGAAAACCATTTATTCTAAAACCATGCTTCCTCTTGAAGTGCAGTGTTTTCTCAGATGGAAGAGACATGTCCTCTACCTATTTTATAGCACTAATAAACTATCCCTGAATTTCCTTTCCTCTTTAGTTCTGTGCTGGAGGCCAGTGACAGAGCAGCAACCCTCAAGTCATTTTAAGTAAATTAAAAAAAAAAAAATTGGCCTATGTTTCAGAGTTTGTTTTTCCAAATGCGTTTCTGTGCACATTTTATTTATATCGGAAGCCTAAACGAAACCCCATTACTCAGTGCCCCTAAGAAAATCTTTTAACTGCAACATGGATCACGAAACAAGCATATGAAAAGCAGTCTCACACAATGTTTTAGTTATCACAACAGCATGCATTGGGTTAACTTAACAGCATGGGTTAACTCAGCAGGTCTGGGGTGCTCACACTCTAGTATTCAAAGAAAAGACTGACCTTTGGTTACTGGGAAAAAAACACGCCAAACCTTGGCTGATCATAGTGATTTTGTATCTTTGGGGTCTTGGGCATTGCTAAACAGTGTCAGCCAACAGTGTGATTTATGACGAATGCCTATTTTTGTTCATCTGGGGCCCCGGGCCGAGCTAGTTCAGTTTGCCCTCAGGAACTGCTGAGTAACTAAGACTAAGACTAAGTAACTAAGGTCAGATATGGGGCTGCTCTGTGCCTACGTGACTGACTCCCGATAAAAAACCCTCACACCAAGGCTTGGGTGAGGTTCCCAGGTTAGTAACACTTCACACATGTCCCACATCATTGCTGTAGAGAATGAAATACTGTCAACACAACTTTTCTGGGAGGGGAACACTCGTAGTTTCTGCATAGTTTCTCCTGGACTGTGTGCCCTTTGTAACTTTTTCCTCTGATGGTTTTAATCTATATCCTTTTGCTGCAATAAACTGAAACTATGGGTCTAACAGGTCTGCTGATTTCTGTGAGTCCTTCTACCAAATCATCAAACCTGAATATGGTCCTGGGGACCCCAACACAATCCAGTGAGATGCTACACCTTAGGAATGAGGATTAGTGACAGGATGTGGCTTTACAGAGTCCTTGCATTTTGCTCTCTTCCTGGTATATAACACTGTTGGGAAAAGCTGGACAAGATCGGGGTGCTGAAGGAAGACTTAGTCCTTGTGGAGCGAATGGGCAGAAAGTATGGATTTCCCATCTTCTCTGCAAATTTAGAAATATTCACTAACCTGGTATGGTTAGTGAATATCAAATATCTTCTCTTCTAAAAGAGAAGTTCTCCCAAATAACACCCTTTCCCTTCATTTCCTAAATTTACTCTCTTACTTGGGTCCTATTAAAGTATCTCACCCACAGCATACAGCTAGCAGAATTTGTCTTCTTAGTACGAATTAGCTAGTTTCCCTTGTGGGGGTGGATGCTGTTGAGGAGCCAAAGTAGTGGGAGAGGCAGTGAACATCCTGAGTTGGGAATGATGCTGCAAAGAGCGAGCCGCAAGCAAACCAGGGTTTGGAAATGGGCTGTAGAGGTAGTAAAGATATAATCACGTACTCACAATCTAGAAATTTGGTAATTAAGGCAGCAACTCCAGCAGGTCCAGTGAGACCCGGCACAGAGGTTGACATATTGTAATATGGAGAAGCATTTTTAGCTTTTGAGAGAGACAGGGAGGAGTTGGAAAAAGAGGACCATATGTGGAGTTGGAAAACATACCCAGGTGATTCCACTGGTCGCAGAAGGTCACACAGGTACCAGGGAAGGAGCCATCCTGGGCTCCATGTGCAAGCCAAGAAATTTGTCTCTTGTAAACAAAAAGGATTCTGCCTCTGCATTTCAGAATGCCTTTTGTTCTTTGATTGAGTACACACTGGCTTCACAGCAGGTACCATCAAGTAAATTCAATTCTATGTCCTGGAGGCTTTGTAGACATTATCTAATTTAATCTATAGAGCACTGCACAGTATTATTTTACAGATTTACAGATGAGCTAGCAGGCTCCTAGAGGCTAAATAACCTAGTCAGGTTGTTCAGTTATTCAGGGGACATAGTCAGTACTTAACGTAGGCTTTGCTTATCTGGAATCCCACAGCCCATTGTCTTTCATCACTGGAGTGAACATTTAGGTGGACACTCAAAAGTGCCTCCCTTTTGGGTCATGCTAGGAAATACTCACATGTGACATAAAACTACTGACCTAACTTGATATTGTGAATGCATTTAAAGGACCAGGAAGGCCAATGATAGACTGGCATTGTGTTGTTTCTATGATTCCTATGTAGTGTTGAATCATATATAGTTTTGGTTCACAGTCAGAGAGGAATCTATCCTAAAATGAACCGCTCCATTATCCCAGTCTATCTAAAAGCCAATAGATTAAATCAGCCCAAATGTTAAGGGAAATTTAAATGTAGTGAAAAGAAATGAAGTACATTTCATAAAAATCACTCCAACCTCTATTGAGTTAATTAACACTTCGGTTGATAAAACACCTTCTTTTTTTAATCTCAAGATGTTTTAAATAACGAGTTTCACTATTTTTGGACTCTACTGACTCAGTAACAGTTTTCTTAACTTAATTTTAACCATATTTTTAAAGTCAACATTTTTTCCCTTTAATTACATCTATGGCTCTTAAGTCTGGAGTCAATATTTTTCATCTTGGACATGCTTTTCATGTTTGGATGTGTTTTGATATATATCATAATATTATTTGATGATATTTTAGTGTATGACATTCTAAGAAGTTTTTAATAGTTAAACATATTAAAGGGGCACCTGGGTGGCTCAGTTGGTTAAGTCTCTGACTTTTGATTTTAGCTCAGTTAATGATTTCACAGTTTGTGAGTTCGAGCCCCGCGTCAGACTCTGTTGTGACAGCACAGAGTCTGCTTGGGATTCTCTCTCCCTCCGCTTTCCCTGCCCCTTCCCCACTCTTGCTCTCTCAAAAGAAATAAATTTCAAAAAAACATTAAAGAGGACATTAGACAAATAGGTGGGAAGTAAAAACACATGAGTATTTTTAAACATATTTAAAATTTTTCTACATTATATATTTATAAGACATCTGTATATGTATGTAGTGCACACAAAAATATAACTATATAGGGCAACAGGGAAATTCACATCGGAGAGTGGTGGTATAATGCATACAATTTCAGAGAATGCAATTCTATTAGAGTAATGGTGTAACTTAAATATTAACAGTGGTTAGTCTAGGTTAATTTTTAAAATAATATTAATAGTTTAGAATAATCTCTATCTGCACTACTCAGGCCTATTTCTTATTTATAGGAACTCTCTTTGGACTCTTACAGAATTATTTCGGGACTATATGAATATTTTTCATTTAACATCTTGGTCTTAGCAGATGCTCAATTCTTATTTATTTAGCATTAGTTCCTTTATTAAATACATAGTTATTGAAGGCCTGCTTTGTGCCATGCCTTTCCCAGTGCTGGGGATGAGGCAGATCACAAAACGACAAAGTCTCTGTCCTCATGGAGCTTATAGTCATGTAAGGGAAAGCATAGAACAAACAAATCAAAGTATAGTGTATTAAGTCACAGGGCTACAGAGCAAGGGGAAACAGGCTATGGGAGAGAGAATGACAGCAGGGGGCTACTATTTAGATTATTTAGATAGGGGGTTCATAGCAGGCTTCTCTGATGAAGTGGCAAACCGGAATCAGGGAGGGTTTTAGGCAGTGAGAGCCACAAATGATACAGATACACGAAGGAATAAAACATGAGATCTGAGGACTACAGACCCTGTGGAACTGAAACCAGGGGACGTTTCATCAGTAAGGTCGAGAAGAAAAGAGTCTGAGTACAGAGGCGACACGAGAACAAAGATTTGTTAGATCTGGGCCCCAGCTTGGAGACATGGGGTGTGCTCTCTTGACTCAGATTAGTCCACTGAGTGCCTTTAAAGCTGCTCTTTAAATTTGCTGTGACTCAGTTTCTACATCCCCAAACGGGTCCCCTTTACTAGAAGCAAAAAGGAAACAGTGAACTGGTAAATGGACTCTTTGGGTTAATAAAGGTCAGTATCATGCTTCATGGGATAAATTTCAAAACTATACCTATTTTTTTTTCTTTCTATGGTATCTACATGAGATGACGGATACTAACTGAACTTACTGCAATAATCGTTTTACAATATATGTAAGTCAACCTGTTAGGCTGTACACATTCTACAATGTGTACAATTATATCTCAGTAAAATTGGGGGCAAACAATTCTGCACGACCATGGGATCCAACTTCTAGTGGGTGCTGTGTTCTACCACATTTTTGACTAGTCTAGACATGATCTGATATAGCTATACACTCCCCACTTTTAGTGCCCTGGTGAGCCCTTCTCTTCTGTTCTGATAAACCCCTATTTTCTTTTTTATAGTGTATAATAATAATAATAAGCAATAACAGAGCCTAGAGATCTCTTTCTTAGAGGAGATGACAGTCATAAACTTTAGGCAAAACAGGACCTCTTCCATCCATTGGAACTTGGCTTTGTCATGCCTCTTGCCCACGGGACTGTCATTTGCCCAGGTCACCAAGAGCTGTGCTGGGGAAATAGCAGTACCCCGTGCCTGGCCTGAGTCAGTGTGAGTTGTGAGGCTCTTTCCTCCTTATTAATGATTTTCCTCATCTCAGTCAATATGTACAAACTGTTCTGTCAGCTCAGTATAATTGAATACAACAGATGCTTTTTTTTTTTTTTTAAATAAATTAAGCCATCCTTGTGATGAATATTTACTGTTTGGCATGAATCCACAATCTGTGTTAACATAGCTCCAAACTGTAACTTTTTTTAGTGGTATATACCAAGCAGAGGTAACAATTATTTGAGATCTTATCCTATGATAGAAGTCTCATTGGGGGCAGGGAGTATAGTCAGAGGGTTTTGAGCCATATTTGAACTCACTGGAACTACAAATCCAAGAGGAAAACGAGAAAAACCAGTGTATTAGCATAGCTCTCTGTCTCTCTCTGTCTCTGACTCTTTCTCTCTCTCTGGCTTGCTCCTCCCCTTTCAGAAAGCCTAGTATTTCCTCAGATATTCTCTCCTTGTTCTTATTCAAAGCAACATTTTAAATTGCCCAAGGCTCATTTGTACCAAAATGCTTCCCATCATTATCTCTCAGATCACTTTGTGTATTTTAAGAGTTATTCCAGGTTTGAAAAACAGACAGGGAGCTTGAACGTGGAATCATCCAGAACCACTTCATTCATTCATTTATTTTTTCTACTCACTTGTTTCTCATGAAAAAAGAAATCCCAAGTTCATTTCTCTGCAAGATGATACCTTTCAGTTATCAGTAAATTGCATCTTTAAAGCAAGAGTGCTTCTCCCGATGATGGCAAGAGAGAAATGAAATACTAGGCCAATTTCAAATGCTATTACCTGCCTGTATTCCCAGTGTCTTTCCCTTTAGATGACACTGTTCCTACATAGAAAGCTTTTTTTTTTTTTTAATCTCCTGCTATTTTCTTCATCACACAGGGAGCTTCATTAGAGAAATAAAACTAGGGTAGGTGCCTTTGACAACAGAAGACAAATGATGTTAGCGAGAAGCTCTCTGATGAGGCAGTTTGCAATTTATCTGTTCAGCCGAGTACCTCTCCTTTGTCAGGGGGTGGGTCTGGCAACTGCTTCAAGAGCAACATATGGCTGGTGTGAATCACTGTCAATGTCTGCAAAGGTGTTCCTGTACATATCCAGGCAGGAAGAACGTGAACACGCCAACTGTATGTAAATCTTGCACTTTTCCATGTGTGCCGCCGCTTGCTGAGATGTGGCAGAAACGAGGAAGGCAGAAATGAGGTTCTGTCTAATTTTTGTAGGCAGCTTGTTCCTCTTCTCTCTCTCCCTTCTCCCCAAGGCCACATTCCCAGGGGTAAAACTCTCTCCACTTACCCTCGCTTTGGTTTCTGCCTTGGATCCATCTGGCTGACAACGGTGGCTACTCTTATTAACTTGATCTGAGGCGTGTACAGCCAGAAGGCTGAAAATAGCAGTTTTTGAGCATAGCCATGCCGAGGCATTGAAAATACCTGAAAAGTTTACTCCTTCTTCTTTCACTCAAGTCAAGGCACAGGTTGTGATACGTTTACTCACACTAGGGAAGGCATGCGAGATTCTTAACCCAACCCCTGAGGAATTCAAACATCACCTCAAGTGATTCTATTTTAAGACTACTTACTGTCATCATGCCATCCAAAAGGCCAGTCTCTGGCCTGGGGGGGGCCTGCAGTCTCTCCATGGACCACTTCTCAATGATGGAGGACACGCGAGGGTTGTCAATATTAAGCAGCCGAAACCCGGTCATGTTTACACCACTGTACCTATAGAGTTCCAGATCTAAAGCAAATAAGTCCTGCGCAGTATTAAAAATGATAAAAGTAGAAAGGGTTAACATTTTCAATGCTCTCTATGCAAAAGAGAATAACGATCGCAGAAGCAAAAGATTAAAATGGCAAACATCCTCATGCCACTTCATGAAAGAACATTTCCTATGGTTCTTCCTTTGTGTGCTGCCTGAGAAGCTCTAAGGCAGTGGACAGTTTTCATTTGCATCTATTCTTTTGCAACACTGTTAGAGTTTGGTCAAATCAAGAAGAGGAATTTGGCTGTCAATAATTAGTATGCCCTTGGGTATTCTGAGAAGTTGGAGAATTCTGTCCGGGGTATAGTGTTTGGGGTGCTGGCAGGTATCTTTGTGTCCACTTGTTCTGATGCTTTTATTTTATACACGAGAACACTGAAAATCTGAGTGGTGATGTGATTGGTTCAAGAATGACCCGCTTGTCAGTTCCTCCCTTCTCCATCACATCTGGCTGCCTCAGATCTTATAAAGGTGGTGGAATTTGGAACTTGCATATGCACTTGACAGGAAGATCATTTCCAGGAGGAAAAATTATCATTTCCTGGCTCATTGAAAATCACCCACGTCCCATACATTGAGTGCATGAAGAATGTTCACCGGACACAAGCTCTGAATAGGAAGCGAAGCGTTCTCTTCAGAGAATAAATTGGAGCATAGAGTTGTGTGAACCTGGGTATCACAACAGTAGAACTAGTTCCCTGTCAGACAGCATTTCCAGAAAAAAACATTTAATCCACTCGTGTCTTCCATGACAGAGGAGGCTGAGTGTAAACCAGGGGTTTATGTTGATTCATATTTAAAACAGACCTATGCGATAATTGCAACTTTTTTCTTATGAAGAAAGGTTTGACTCTAAAATGCCATTAAAAATGCCTCACATTGAAGAATAAACCAGACTTCCAAAATAACATTTAACAGGAAAAAAAAAGAGAAAAACTTCCATGGAAATTTCCTAACGGTGTAAATGCTTTATGGAAGTGCAATGCAAGATAGTATATTATCAGTGATGACCGCAGTTCTAAGGAGAAAGAAGTAGCTTCAGAAATACCTCATGATTTGTATTTGCAGAAGATGCATCCAGATTTGTTCTTTTGAAGAATTCTTCTCTACACTGCCACCCTTTACCAAGATAATGTTGGATTAGACTGTAGAATTTTAAGAGGGCAGCTCTGTGCTCCTGGCTCAGTATCAGAAAAAGAGTACTGCCTTCTAAAGTGTTATATATATATTTTTCCCTTTGTACTATGTAACTCTCTTTCTCCTTTTAAGTTTTATTAATACTCATGGGCAAGAAGGGTAAGAATATATAAAAGCAAAGCATGGAAGAAGGCAGATAAAACCAAAGGAAAATGCTTAAAGAAGCAAATTTAAAGAAGAAGACCTAGAAAGATTTCCACCCAGTGAATGGAAGAAAAGTTACTCAAACTACAAGAGGTCAGACAGAAAATTCCAGAATGCATATGGAATCCTTCACAGACTCCATAGTACGTAACGCAGTGTGCTAAAGTGGATACATTACACAGGTGCAAAATTAGGTGGGCTTAAAAGTTGAGGTTTCTATGCAATATAGAATACGGAAAGTCTAGGGTCCGATTTGCAACACCTGCTTGTCAGGGAAGGATGAAAAAAGCAAGACTATGAGAGTAAGTTGTTTGTTCCTGAAAGGTCTCTGTGAAGACCAGCCTTTTTCTTTGTTCATATTCTTTCTCAAATTTCAACAAAACTAGCCTTAGGAGGGTGCACAGCCAGGGAAGATAGAAATTTCTGTGGCAGGTGGCCATGCCACCTTGAGTAGAACCCAGGTATTCATGGTGATGGGGAGATGGTTGTACTTGTGACCTAAGATGCTTTCCAGGTCTCAAGGTTTCCCTTGACTGTTCTGACAGAAGACCTGATTAGGATGTCCATGAGGGAGGGAAGATCATGGAAACTTTAGTTCAAGATCTTCTGCCCTGCATCCCACTCCCTTGTCCCAAGCTCTGGAGCAGTGATGATTTTGGCACTTGCCCCAGAACATTGGTCTCATGATGTCCTCTGTACCTCTTCATGCTCTCAGAGATACTTGAGTGAGGAATAGAATGAACTGTTTCTATCAGTAGTATTTATTCAAGGACAGCTGGTCCTTGTTCCAAATTCTTATATTTCCCTTACTCATCAGCCTCCCTTGCAAGTTTTATTTGGTAAAATGGTACTTAATACATTTCCCAGAATCTGGGTGGATTTCAGTGGATACACCTTAACAGAGTAGTAAAGAAGGTTGGTTTTACGTTTTCTTTTCATGTAAGAAAGTGGAATGTGTGTGTGTGTGTGTGTGTGTGTGTGTGTGTGTGTGTGTGTTGGGAGGGGTGTAGTGGGGGGGGGGCACAGATTTTTGAAGTTGAATGAGAGCTATCACATCATTCACATGTGTTCAATGCCCTAAGTCATTCTCCCTTGATCTGATACTCTCAAAATTTAGAGTGTTGTTTCTTAATTTCTTAGGCTCAGTGCCATTTTTTTTTTTTTTATGGTGAAGAATATTCTCTGTGCAAAGCATCTCTGATGCTCCTTTTCTTAATGGTCTTCAAAACACCTGACAGGTGACCCCTGGCTAAGCCAGCTATCTACTGGACTTGGGCAGGTAAATCACATAGATCAAAAAAGCCAAGATATACTTTAGTGTGCCTTCTAATGTATATAGAAAATGTAGATGATTCTTCTTTATGCATATGCACTTTGACAGTTTCTATTTAATGGAAGTATCATTTTAATCCCTTTCCAGATGCATATACATAGATGCTAGTTTAAAAAAGAAAAAAAAAACCCTGCTGTTCAGCATTTCTGGATTTATAGGTTTCTTAGGAAAGTAATACAAATCTCCATGACAATATCCTGCCTCTGACACTGGTGGGGATGACTTTGAAATAACTGGAAATGTTTCCTATAGCATGGAATACGTTTCTACCAGATGTGCTTACCAGGGTTGTGAAAAAGTAGTGATAGTACTCAGTCATCATGCCCATGAACAGAATCTGCAAAAGAGAAATACGGGGAAAGAATCAGAAACAGAATTATAATAAGAAATAGATCATGAGTAGGGCAATTGCAATAGCTTGAGGACATAGAACAGGAAGAGGCTTTGGAAACCCATGGATTCAGCAGATCAGAAACCTGAGACAGATCAGTGGCTGATGTGGGCTGATGCGGACCCAGGCCATTAACCTCCATCCAATATTCTTTCATTAGACTATGTTCGATCTTCATTGAAGTGGCAGGTCTAACGATCAAATTTAAAAATAGTTTATGCTCACCAAAGTTAATATTTGGAATTGTTCTTAATAATGCAGTGTTTTACTTTCTTTATTGCCTAGGTTTCTGAGTAACACCATGCTTAGATAGATATTTTATTGATCTCCTTAGCTTTAATACTTACCGTAATGCCTCAGAGTAGAACTCATTAAATGTTGAATTGCAATACTGGTATGTAGATGTATTTAAATGAGGATTTATACATATGCATATCTCTGAAGCCTCTCTCTCTACTGCTCTCCCATCTTACCCCACAGTGTGAGGAGGGGAAAAGAGGATTTGTTTGTAGACAGAAGGATGGGGACCATTCCTGTACAAATGCCACACCACCTCTTAATTCTGACCCCCAGTTACCTACTTGGGATCTTGACAGTTGGAGACATTCTGTGTGTATTGTTTTTGCCTAGAAGGGGAGGGAGAAAGAAGGTGAGCAGAAAGGGCAAGCTTTCTGGGTAGAGGTAGTTTATTAAACTGTGATCTGATTTTGGATTCCTGGAAATGGTGTCCACTGAGGAGAAATAGTTGCAAATGACTTGGAGATAAGCAACAGTTTCTAAATCTCCCAAATCAAGGGCATCGCCTTCCTTGGGGGCAGGTCAGCAAAGGACTATTTGGGTGTTGTTTCTCGGTATTTGTATAGAAATGAATGCAGAAGCCTAGGAAATAAAATTTCCAAGTCGGTTCTCCCCACAACTCTGATAAATTCTGAATGCAAATGAGAATACCCTCTGGAAATTTTAAAATCGGATATTCTTAGACTCCATTACCGAGCCATCCTGAATTGGAATTCCTCAGAGCAGAGTTTGGATTTCTGTATTTCACAGCAGTGGTTGAGAATCATCAATATATGGAAAACATGTCCATTCACAACAAAGAACAGACTTTTATAACTGCAATTGAAGAAATGGATTGCAAAGATCTCAGGAAAGGCAACATATGTTATCAGAGGTCCTAGAAAGTGCCTAAGATATGTAAACTAGAGTGATTTCATGTGAAAAGGTATAAAGAATGAAGAGAGTATTCAATGACAGCACTGAACACACCAATCAGACACTTTTTTTGCCCTCTTCTGCTAATGTGGAGACCAGAGGAATATTTAGTGAAATTGTAATGTCACGAAGGTAAGACAAATGACAGGAAACTCTCTCTGAATCCTGAGCCCCACCGTGTGTAAGTCACTCCTATGGTGATAACAAGACTGAGCTCACAAAAGAATTTTAAAAAGGGTAGAATTGCTTTAGGGCCATCAATAACGTTTAAAGCCATGCATGGTGAGGTCTTGTTAGCTGGTCTCTTATATCATCGGAGCATAAAGAGCTAACCTGCCACGGTCAGTCAGGAATCCAATTTTTCACTTTGGTTGTTAGATAGTGTAATTGCAGCCAAGCCTACCTCTTGAAAGAGGACTGGGCAAGTTTTATGTCAAGATATAGAGCTGGACACTGAGGTTTAAAATATCGTTTCTAACACTGAAAAAGCAACAAAAAGGCACCTGAGTTTTCAGCTTTTCACTGGGCTGACTTTTCTTTTAAAATGTGATTTCGGAGGGGCTCCTGGGTGGCTCAATCTGTTAAGCATCTCACTTTTGGTTTCGGCTCAGGTTATGATCTCGTGGTTCATGAGTTCAAGCCCCACATTGGGCTCTACGCTTGGCAGTGCAGACCCTGCTTAGGACTCTCTTTCTCTCCCTCTCTGCTCCTCCCCTTGCTCATTCTCTCTTTCTCTTTCTTAAAAATAAATAAGTGAATTAAAAAAATAAAAAATAAGAATAATACGTGATTTGGAGACGTTTGGTCATCAATTGAGGGCATAGGCTTTTTTTTTTTAAACATTTTTTGATTGGATGAAAATATTCATTCGATATGCCTCGTATTTAATGTCAGAAAAAAGTTATGAAGACACAGTGAATATTCGTCTAACAGGTCTACTTTTATTGCAGATAGAACCCTTGGGTCATCTGGGTATACTTTTTATTTGGCACGCTAGAAAAATCTCCATTCTTGACTTTCCTACTTAGTGCCTGGGTGAGTTTCTCCTAGTTCTTCCTTTGAATTTCCTATAAATGGAAAATAAGAAACGAATATAGTCATGGATCATTCACCTGCTACCTTTGTGTACTCACTAGGACACAGGTGATTGAGAAGCTTCTAGATAAGAATAAAGCCAGTAGCATCAAAAGTGGTGCTTTTTAAGCAATCATCCATGTAAGAGTCTGTAGACTGGTTGGGGCCAGCAGTTTGTCATCTAATAATAGTATACTTTATAAATAAAAGTATTGCATTCACATGATGATTTTCTCTCTGCACATTGGTATTTCCACTAAAAGTCATTAAGGGATTACGAAAATGTCACATCAAGATAAATGTCAGTTTTTCAAATAAAAAAGTATAATCATGATATGGGGAGTTTTCTAATCTTGGCAAAACTGACTTTTTCCTAAGAAACGTTACCCTCTTTGAATTTTGATAGCGTACTTATCTGCCCGACTAACTGAGTGGTGCTGACCTAGGCAGTGTGTACCTTACCAAAGCAATATTGCTAGAAACTAGTTCTGGCTATCTCTAAATCATTTTTTACAGCACTAAACACACCACATCGCACACATTAATATGAAATGAATGTGGCTGTCAATACTGTTCATATTACCCTTCATTCTTCCACTAATATATTCTTTTGATAGTGTTTGTTTCTTAAAAGGATTATTCTTATTTAACAACCCTTGACATCATATCATTGACCTCGATTGATAGACAGTACAAACTCCAGCCCTTTCAATAGCATTATCTATCTGTAATAGGGGCAATACTGAGAATCTACTACTCTTCTTGATTTTAGAAGACCCATAGTTTAGACACCATTGATGCCATTGCCAATTTCCCATCTTGAAATGCAAATGGCAGGATTGCATTTCTTGTTCTCTTGTACTTGGGGGGAGCCATGTGCCGGTTTTGGCCAAAGAGGTGGGGAAATCCTGACACGTCACCCTCCAGAGACTCACCCTGGATAGGTGATTACCATGGTTATCAGGGCCATAGCAAGCTGTTTTTCTTCTGAATAAAAACAATTTTCTGTTGCATGAGTTTTGCAAGGCATGGAGGTGTTCTTTTTTCATGACTTTGTTTTGACTGCTGGGGAGTTTAGGGTGAAAACTGTGGGTTCTTCATTAGCAACTAGTAGGAACGCAAAGTATATATATATGTGTGCTCATGCCATTAAGCTTTGTTTTTCTTATCTAATATTCGTCTTTGTTCCAACTCCTCTCCCCTTTAAAATGTATTTATCACTTTGTTTCAAATGTACTTTCTAGGCTGCTTTAATTCCTTGTATAATAGAACTATAGTGCATAATAAATAATCATGATTGGGAGAAGCTAAAAGATTTTTTTCTCACGAAGAGGGATGAACTGTTCGGGTCTGAGGTAGCTGAGTTGGGTTAGAGTAGCAAAAAAGGCCCCCCAAAATATTATTCTTTGTTAATAATAAGAGCTCAATTATAAGAGCTTAAGAGAGACTATGGTAGTTAATTTTATGTGTCAACCTGACTGGGCCAGTGGATGCACAGATTAAACATTATCTCTGGGAGTGTCTGTGAGGGTGTTTCCAGATGAGATAAGCTGTTGAAATGGTGACTCAGTAAAGCAGATGTTCCCCTCCCCACAATATGGTGGGCATCATCCTGTCCACTGAGAACCTGGATGGAACCGAACTGCAGAAGGAGGAGAATATGTCCTCTTACCTCCTGCCTGACTACCTGAGCTGGAACTTTGGTTTTCTCCTGGCCTTGGACTAAGATTTTCACCATAGGCCTTTCTGGTTCTCAGGCCTTCAGACTCAAACAGGACTTACACCATGGCTTTCCTGGCTCTCCACCTTGTGGATGGCAGATTGTAGGCCTTCTCAGCCTCCAGAGTCATGTGAACCAATTCCCCAATAAGTCTCTTCATATCTCTCTCCTATTGGTTCGGTTTCTCTGGAGAACCCTGACTAATACAGAGAAGACTACCAAAAGACTAAAAATCTTGATACTCTGAATACATTTGATATTCCATGCTATCTAGAAAACATAATCCTTAAGCCAGCAAGAGGAAGGGTGGCTGATACCTATTTGAAGAGATTCTCTGGATTAGGATATCACGGAAATGCCACATACTATTCTGTTGTTTCAGTGGCTAGAAAATAATTACTGTTTTTTTCCCTCCCTTTGGTAGTTAAAATGAAGCATGAAGATAGAAAAGTACTCATTTACAGTTGACTCTCAAAAGGACAATTCTAATGGTCCCACCATTATCAAAATACCCTGGGGCAGTTACTGCTCATTAACAATGGTGGCCTCACCTCCGCCCATCCACTCTCTGCAATTTTTACAATAAGACACTTATGACCTTGTTCACAGTAGCATTGACTTTCCTTTTCTATTCTCAGCAAAGACTATCTCTTGGAATTAGATGGGTTATCATATGCAGCCCAAGCAGCACAAAGATCACATGTTAGTTTGTCTGAAGAGCCCTCATTCAAGTCTTGAGGAAGATAACCGAGACAGTTAGTGGGCTCTAACTCCTGTGTTTAGTGACACAGTTGGCCTATGAGATACCTGGAAAGTCTCTGGGTAGAAGTCTTCTGATAACATTTCCTGGTATCTCAAGAAGTCTGCACCCTATTTGAGCCTGATCACTTTCTAGAAGGCAATGCAGTGCTATAGAGGCAGTAACAAAAAATTCTCTACA